ATACGAAGAAACAACCCAACGTTCCAGGAAAACGGTTTTCCAGGAAATCAGACTCCACTGTGAAGGAGGAACTGTAGCGCAGCAGAAAGCAACGGGAAAGGCATGAACATTGCCTACATGAACATTATTGACAGCACCAAGACCCGCCTCCTGTCTCTGATTGGTTGTTTCTGACTGGTGGTGTATTTCTGCACGAGGAGAATAAGAGGAGCTTTTTTTCTTTTGTTTTTATATTATCTGTCTAATACTACACTATCACAATATAGCAACAGTTTTAACAAATATGTAAAAAAAACATATTTTTATAAGTTATCTACTGCATCTTTAAAGTCTTGAACTTAATCTACTGAAACTGTGTAGGAGTTTGACTGCTGTAATAAATGATTCAGTTGCATTTTGACAAAACTTTGAAGTTTTGTGCAGCTGGAGAAGAACAATTCACTGAACTCGAAGGATCTTCAGTTCAGCTTCATGTGCCGTTTCTGTTTTTAATTAGCCAAATTAAACCTTAATCTAACAAACGATTGCTTGCAGAAATCATTCTAAGGCAGTCGATAGGTTTTTATCACATTTGAGCTTAATGTTTTATTACTCTAAATAAACAACACTAAGCTTCATTTTGCTTCAGGGGATTGAATATGGTAATGGAAGCCACTTCTTGGTTGCATTTAAATGAAGTGGAAGTGCACAACTTTAGCAGCTTCCCAGAGAACAGCTGAGAGTTTTGCTCCTGGAAATATTCCCATCCATATTCATACCTGCTGCACTCACCTGATTGCAATTCTGCACGTGTTGCTCCGTGTAGTTTACATTTAAATCTGGACGCCTTCAAAGACTCTCCAGTGTTTCTTATCGATGCCGTGATAAATGAGGTTTGCAGTTCTTCCCTGCTGCTTTATGCTGACCCCAAACATGTTCCGTTGCAGGTCACTTGGATATACGAGCCGAAGGATGGAGAGAGGATGAACATAGCTGTGTTCCACCCCAGCTATGGCCCCAACTATCCTGAGTCCCAGATGAAGGGCAGAGTCACCTTCAAGCCCAGTCAGCCAGAGCTGTCCAGCCCTTCCATCGAGATCAGTGACGTCAGGATGACGGACGAGGGTCGGTACGTCTGCGAATACGCAACGTATCCCGACGGCAACGAGCAGGGCATCACTCAGCTGGTCATGTTGGGTAGGTCACAGTCATAATCTGCTGCTTTTAATGATTTTGGATTCAATTGCTCTCACTGTGAATGTTTTTGTAAAGGTTCTGATGAGCAAGAAATTCATCTTAATCATCTAATGGATCTGAGAGCCACTTGTGTCCGAGTCTATAGGCGACACAAGTGTTGACCAACGTGGCTAACAAATGAGCAATTTATGAATTTCTTTAAGGGCATTGCAGTAAAAATGAACATCATCAAAGTTCAGTTACTTCATTAGTTAAATTTTAAAAAGGTAAAACACAAATTGTGTAGCTCTGTTACACACAGAAATACATTTCTAAAGTTTATTTCAATGAATTTCTTTCTGAAATTTAGAATATTCCATTAGACAATACGGGAAAGTTGCTATGGTTTGTGTAGAGACTGTGGAGTGGAAGTCACTAAAGAAGCTCACTGTTCAGATTGCCAACTCTAAACTTGTCGAAAGAAAAATTGAGTGGAAGAAAAAATGTTAGAAACAGCTGCGCAACTCCAAAGGAAAACTGAAGCTGTGAGAAGACAGTGAAGCAAAGCCTGTTCAAATCTGAAAGAGATTTGTAAGATTTGGACTGCAGCTGGATTCAGAGTTTCAAGTCAACAGACACAACGATTGTTGGTCCTTCTGTAAGGTCGTTCTTTAACCAGAGAGGACATCTAGAGGGCCGTACCTGGGCTAAGAGGAGAAGCACCTAAATTACTGTTAGTTTATTAAATATATGTTTGATTAAAAGTTAAACTTTGCATTTCAGTTCTAAATCAAGACTCATAATCGTTCTCTCCGCTGATGAAGAAAGGACCAGTAAGATCATCTGCTGCTGTTCCCTGTCCAGAGTGAAGGCAGCTGCATTTTAACCACATTATGATTGATCTTGGCAGCTTTTCAGCAGGACTTTCTAAACTACCAATAACTGCATGAATGACCATCAGAGACCAGACTTGATTACACGACCTGACCCCAGACCCAACGAGGCAGACGGGGAACCCGGGCCTCCATTACACCTCAGCAGAACCTCTTTCTGATCACTTTCATGCCGCTTTGCGTTGATGCAGGGTGTGGTGCTTGGGTGGGTGTACGGGGATTTTTTTTTTTGTTGGTGCATCTCAGCAGAAACGTTACAAACCACAAAATACTGATCTAATGTTATTTGATCCCGTTGACAGATGGATACAAACTTCAATTATTTTTTGAGGATTATATTAAATAACTGAATTTTTCATAATCAGTCTAATATATAATGCTTTTCACACTTAGTGTTTCCCTCCTTCCTGAGTTCCTATTTATTTTTTTGCATGTTTGTCACACTTTTAAATTTGTAACAGTGTTTGGCCATGTAGCTTTTTATTCCTTCAGTAATGAACTGTACCATCATTTAAAAACTCACTTTTGTTTTTATTGTTGCCGATTTTGACTGATGCTCTGAAACACTGAAGTGTGACAAACCTGCAAACGAAAACCAGGAATGGAAGAAACACATTTTCGCACCCGTGGATCTCATTGCAAGTTTAAATCGCATATTAAAATAAGAAGATATTTTAGTTTAAGATGAAACTGTATGCTAGCAGAAGGAACTTAAAGTCTAGTTTTAGTCCAGAGTAGTTAAAAGTAAATCTCCGTTCTCAACAAGTGCTACTGACGGTTTAGTCTAAATGAATACAAGCTGGTATTTGCAGCACATAAACAGGGTCTGCTCCCAGTTTATCAGCCAACTATGTCAACACAGAGTTGGGAAATTGTCTGATGTTTACCTCGGCTGTTTTTCCTGTCTGGTGCCGTTTTCGCTTTGAAACTCTACGGTGAAATAAGGCTGACACGTTTCAAAGTAAAACCAAAAGCCTGAAACCGCAACACTGTTTCCATGCTTTCATGGTGTCGGCTTTAATCCGACTGTGCTGTACAAGGTGATGATCAACGCCTCACACTGCGGCTGATGCCTCTTTGTAGGAGCTGTTAGATCGCAGCTGCATCTGAAAATGTGCAGCAACGACAAATTGGGTTAATTGGCAAAAGTTATTCACGTGTTTGCAGTGAATAAATGAACCGACAAGTTTTGTTTTTTTTTTAATCCAAAGTGAATTACTAAATCGCACTTTTAATATCGTTGATAATCTGAGAAATTTGCACCCAGTGCAAAACATCCAGAGGTTTCTGATTTTAATTTATTTATTTTTTGTAATCTCCTTAAAAAATCCATAGGTTTACCAATCGAGTAAATCAATGGCTAAATTATAGCTTATCCAAAAAACGTTGCGTATTTGGGCTGAGTTTGTGCAACTCTTGAACTGTCAGAGTTTAAGAGTTGCAGTATGAAAAGACAGATTGTAACTTTGATCTAAACCCTTAATTTTTGGACCATTAGGATTAATGTGGGCAAAATGTTGACTATTCAGAAGAAAGTAGATAAAAAGAACCATTTGGGCCCACGGAGGATTAAATTGCTTAATACATCTAATATTACAAGTTAAATAGAGCTTAAAATTAAACAGAGAACGACCGTTTTAATAACCATTTACAGTATGGACCAGCATTTTCTTTGGTATCTTATAAAAAATCGTAAGTTTTAGGAGCAGTGTGGTGAATACAAGATTTTTTTAAAACTTTTTTTTTTCCCTTTTATACCAGATATTGGCCCATTTCTGTGCTGAAAGTCTCAGTTGGTGAAAATCTCCCATTATAATGCAGTAATAGAACAAATTGAATGTTATTTTTTTACATAAAAAATGTAATTTAAAGTGATGTAAACACGTTCTATTCCTATAACATTTATTTTTAAACTTAAAAACTGAAGTAAAAAATGTGTAAACTCCATCCTACTTAAATTTGAGCCTATTAATCTGTTGCCTGAATCTTTTATTTTATTTTTATTTAATACTCAGTGAATGAAGATATTGTTCTGTGCAGAGTAACCCAGATCAAAGATGATCTGTGCCACTTCACAGGTTTTTAGTTTAGTTTAGAAGTTTTTTAGTTTAGTGAGTTTTTACAACTTTCACACACCATCAACACTTTGATTAGTGAGGGTAAAAGCTAGAAGAAGTTGGCCAGCTGTCCTCAGTTTATTTTACTTTCCTTGCCAAAACTGTTCAGCCATTTTCAGTTTTCCAGACTCGCTGAATCTGAGCCAAAGGAAAGTGAAGCATTTATTTTTTTTATGTATATATTATTTTTTTGTGCAATGTGGTCACCCATCTGGCTATAGTTAGAAAATACTCACCTAAGGGACCAATGCAAGGCATCTTGTGCTGCTCTTTAATTCAAACACGGATTTTGAAAGGATTTAGCATCAGCAGCTGTTATAAGAGGCACCAGTTTTATTCTTCTTAATGTAAGACAGGCGAGGCTCAGCACCCGGCGGCCCCTCGCCTCTCCAACTCGCCGATCCTCTGTGCTTCCCCTCAGGCGGCGTATTGATCTGGCTGCTTGTCATGCCGGCTGTCAGTTCCTGTCTTCCTGCCCTCCTCTGATCCCGCAAAGCTATCAGAGAGGGCAAATGAGAAGGGAGGCGGTGCGGAGGGAGAAATAACTGACATCATGCCGTCATTTAGAAACAGTGTATGGAAATGCAGCCGGCCAGTCGGGGACGTGACTTATCGGCGTCGGGTGAAGATGGGCTATAGAGAGGCAGTAGATGAAGAAATAAGGCAGGATCTGCGAGTTTTGCAGGCTTGCCTGTAATTGTTTGTCAATGAAATCTCAGGAGAGAGAGAAAAAAAAAAAGATTAGCTGGACAGAGAGGGTTTGATTGGGGTTGGGAGGGCAGAGGATGTTTGCTTTTGTCAGCCAGACTGACTTAAATTGTTTATCAGGAAAAGATAATTGCTCACATTATCATTTCCCTCAGCCATCTTATTTTCTGTTTATCTCTCAGTACATCCATTAATCCTCTTTCTTTGTTCCTGCTCCCTGTGCATCTTTTCCTCGACCCGTCCACCAGCCAAGCCCGTGAACTCTGCCACCACCGTAGCAGAGGTGGCTGGCACCAAGCCGGTCGTGGTGGCCCGCTGCGTGTCCAGAGATGGCCGCCCGGCGGCAAAGATCCGATGGGTGACCACAGCCAAAGGCAACTGGACAGAAACGTCTAAGACGGGCGCCGACAACACGGTGACGGTGACGAGCGAGTACCGCCTGGCGCCGACGCCCACGGACAACGCGAAGGACCTCACCTGTCTGGTGAACCACAGGACCCAGCTCAAAGACGAGAGCCTCCCGCTGAAGCTAGCCATTCGGTGTAAGCGCACGCACGCACGCACGCACGCACGCACGGACACCCTGCTCTCTTGATTTCCCCTGGCGCTCACACTAATGTGATAGGCTTTGAACATTTCAAACCTCACAGTGAATAATTAAACTTATTTCCCTTCCTTCCCCAATTTCCCTCCTGTCATTCACTCGTACTGCGCCAGACCCCCCTATGGTGGAAATTGAGGGATATGACAACAATTGGTACTTGGGCCGTACGAACGTGGGGCTCCTCTGCAAGGCTAACGCAAACCCCGTTCCTCACACTGTGCAATGGACAACGTGAGTATCGGGTCATTCTGGAGGCTTTGTCGTTTTGTCTTTCTGCCGTTTAAAGGCTTCCTTTCCTTCCTGTAGTTTACTCTTCAGTCTGCAGGCGTTGTAGAACTGTAATCATACTTTTTATTATTGAGGCTGAAAAACAGTGAAATGATTGAGATATTTCTCATAATAGGATTTGAATTCTTCCACAAACACAATGACTCTTGTTTTCCTTAATTAGTGGCCATTTGTAAAGCTACTGAAATAATTTAGAGGACATACATACATCTGGACATTTTAAGCTTGGATATTTGAGTTTTTATTTTTTTTTTATTTTTAATTGTTTTACTATAAAAGCCAGACGGTACATTCTTTCACATAGAAATGGATCATCACTTCAACTGTTGACCTGAATCAAATTATTTTCAGCCTTCTGAGCTTTAAAATCTGGTCTTTTTCTGATCAGTGGAACCTTTTGTGCGGCCTGCCAGCTTGTGATAACCACACAGACTCTGGTCAGATTGTGACACTGGGTAAATAAGCTTTATGTTTGCTATTTTGGTGTCAGTAAGGCGTATAAAAATTAAGCTAGAGAAGCACAGAGATGTAAGTGGCTGTTTAAAAGTAAACAAGTCGAGACGTGTGTGTTTGGTTCTTTCATGCTGCAAAGGAGTGAGAGAGAGTGAAACTTAAAGCAGATAACAGGAAGGCTGAATGAATCACAACATAGTTGCTGTTTGTTTTTAATCCTCTTTCGCTTTCAACCTCTTGACATGGAACAAAAACTGTTTTAAAGCGATGTTGTCTCACATGTGTGTTTTTACACCACTCCTGCTGATGCTATGGATGAAGAATGACATTTAAGATTGGTTTTCTTTTCCTTTCTGTTTTAGATGTTGTAGTTCTTTAAAGAAACTGAGCCAAGTTGACACTGGTTGGTGAAAGATTCACAACATTCTGGTTGGTTCACCTGCAGTTATCAACAATAATGGAGCTGGGGAAAACTGTAGTCATTATAATTCTAAATGTGATTTCTTCTTCCCCATATTTAATAGTGGGTTTAATTTTTAGGAGAGCTGGACACTGACTGGTTATTTTCTGCCAATCAAGATTAGTGGAATTTACTGGGACTGAACAATGCAACACATTCTGCTCATATATAAATTTCCATTTCTGCCTCTCCTCACTGCTTTTTCCTTTTCTTTCCTGGGCTGATTTGCTTGTTTCCCCACAGAATGACAGGACAGTTGCCAGATACCGTGCTGCCCAATGAGAAAGAGCTCAAGGTGCTGAAAGTGGACAATTCTGTCAACACCACCTTTGTGTGCGAGGTCAAGAACAGCATCGGGACCACCAGGGAACAGATCACGATCCACGTCAGAGGTGAGCTGCATCCTGACTTGAGCAAGCTGCACTTTAGTTTAAGTTGCACAATCGGTGCATACATCTTTTGAGTTTGATTCAAAGTGTGAGCGCCACATGTGTGCATTCGTCACTGGAAATGATTAATTGAAGTGTCCTTTTCATGCACTTCCCTGCTACGTAATGAATTGGCATCACAAATCCACTCATCTGCTGCTCTAAATAGATTAAAATCAGTGCTTGGTGTAATTTGCACGAGTTGCAAATGTCCATACATGCTGATGAATTGTACATATTTAACGCATCAATAAAGCTTTGGGAATTCCAGCAGAGTGAAAGCGAAATGCACTGCTGGCTGTTCATTCATTACATAAACTTACCTCAGGCTTGTGTATGAAAATATTTATATCCTGAAAACTGATGAGCTGGAACCAACTGCTCTTTCATCACACGAGCCACACGTTTCCCCGTGTTTTATGCTCTTATTGCTTCCCCAGGGATGCACCTTGTTTTCCTCACATGCCACATAAACACCGCAGACACCCACACACACATTTCCTCTGTGCTGAGGTTGATCTTGGGTGTTTAGTGTAAGGTTAGTGGGTCCAGCTGCTCTGTCCTTGGTGTGTGTGTCTGAGGGGATGTAAATGCTGAGTCAGTGTGTGCATCCTTTTGGATTCTTTCCTTCAACATCATGACTCTCTTTTTCTGTTTTCCGTTAGGAGTGCATGTCACTTTTTCCACGTCTCTTTGCTGCTGTCGATACTTTTTTTATTCCAAGTTTTTATGCTGCAATAGTGTTCAAGGTCCCCTGTTTTTTGTGCATCTAGAGGCAATTTTGCATTTTCTTTTCCTTTGGCCTCCATTTTTTTCTAATCTGTTGTGTTTTTTGTTTTTTTTTCTCAACTGAGGCCTCTCTTTACCCTGAAGCCATTCTTACACTTTGAGTCCTCACAAGTACTTACATGCATTAATGTAAATGGAGGACCCAAAGCAAAGGAAATGAGCAGTAATGACACTTTAGACCACAACTGTGAGTGGTGTATTTGATTTGAATAGATGTAGATTTTATAAGCTGGTATAAAACCTGCTACTGGTGTTAATGATGCATCCGTCTCAAAAGTCGATGCAGGATTTTAGGTTCACAAAAACACAAGAAGAGTAGGGGTATTTTTGAGAAAACTGACGTTTTTTCCACAAACTTAGTACATTTTCTTTATGTCTTATTCTAGTACATATTTGACTTTAAAAAAAAAAGTTATTTTCTTATCCTGAAACGACTCTATTGGCAAAAAAGGAAAAAAAAAAAGTCCTTAAATCCTTTTTTTGAGCAAGAAGAGATTTTTAAAGAATATCATTAAATTTAAACTCTTCAAAAAATATTCTATTTTGAAATAATTGATTTTAATGAATATCAATTTTGCAGTTATCACTGAAAAAATGGTAACTAGTTGATCTGTGGTAATGTTTCTAACTTCTGTTTGTTTGCAAGTGATAATATTGTAAGATTTTTAGGTTTGCAGTGTGAAATTTTTTTTTCTCTATTCAGTGAAAACATTAAGAGATTCTCTGGTTGTGACTGATTCAATGCTACTATTTTTAGTCTTTAGAAATGCAGTTGAAGTGCTTGGAGTGCAGAAGTAGTCCTTCTGATGACGGGTAGGTTGTACTTCTAGAGCCGTTTGCGACTGGAGACAAAAAGATGATAAAATGCATTTGGTCGCTTCTTAAAAATGATTTGGTTAAAATGTTAAATCTTTTTGTCCGATCCCTCTCCAGACTCATTAAATAACTGAAGCAGCTCTTAGTGCCAAAGAGGAGTGGATGCTAACTGATGGCTAAATAATGGTTAGCCATATTCTCACAGTTCTAACAAATCCTTTGTGTCTCTTCTTTCACTCTCATTGTTAATTTTACTACCAAGTTGTCAAAATGCTTCCAGATTAATTATTTCTCAGCACTGGAAGATTATTATTCTTTAATGCACCTGTAGGCGAATGTTGTCAGCTAGCCTGATGAGTAATTTTTATTAGCCGCCTCTGTCAACGCGGCGTGGCAACTCGACATACTTTCATTCTTACTTCAATGTTTGAGTCTTAAAGCTACTAAATGGGTACAACAGGTAAATTTAACCTTCATATTAGAGGGATTGATATAATTTCACATGTTCCTCTTTGAAATGAAGAATTTTAACTTAATTTTAAGATGTTTTGATAGAAAAAAAACACAGTTTGAAAAAAGAAGAGAATTTTGCGTATTTGTTTGAATTTTATATCCAGAGGTTTTCAGAAACTACGACATGGAGCAGCACTTTTTATCTTTTGCTTCATGTGCCAAGAACTACAACAGATTTTGTGTTTCTGGTGTTATGACCCGGCTAGTTCAGCTGGATCAAAACGGATTGTAGATATGGACTTCAAGAAATAATTGAGATTTTGTTGAGCAAAATAAGCAACAAAAACAAGCAGGTAGCCTCGTGGCATCTGGCATCGCTGAGGCCAAAGCTGGTGGATCAGGCAAGAGTCGGGCAAAAGCCGCCCAGAACCAGAGCAGCAGGTTCCCAGATCGTTAACTGGGAACCTGCAGACATTAACTGGTGGTCCAGTCCGACAGTCGAACCTTTTTCTCAACACAGCAAAAGGAGACGGTGGTTGATTTTTAGACATTTGCAGAAGTAGATGAGGTCGATCGAGAAGATGGATTTCACATGTATCAGTTGTTCATTGATTAAGGAAATTGGGGAAGGTTTATTGTTTGGCCCAATTTATCGACGCACTTCTATTAAATTTCAATGAAAAATGTAAAGTCAAGAAGTTAATGACTTGGAGAAAAGCAAACCCATGTTGAAGTAAACACAACGTCTAGCTGCTTTATTGAGCCTAGCTTTAGTCACTGTTAACTCATCCTTTAAAATTTCACATACATGTCAACATTGTTGCCATTTCAAATCAGAAATGATCATTTCTGATTCGAATCCCACAGTTAAGTGTAGTCCGTGAGAAATTGAGGAGATATTAAAGTTTTACTGGGGATAAAATCGAATGCTGGGATATGTTTTTGAAAAACAGACTTCACTTTGCCAAGCGATATCAGCCCGTTAAATATTGCAAGATCTGGTCATACCCGTTGAGTTGCACATGTTTTTGTGTGGCCACTCTTATTTGTGAAAATCATCCATCTATGCAGACATGCATTCATGCGAGGAAGAGCCTCTGATGGCGTTTCTGTGCTTTGAAGTAAAAATGTCTAAAATGGTGTCAGAAAGACTGGAAAAGAAGCCACACAGTCTCCCCCCCCCCTGCTCTGTTCCAAGAGTTCAGCAGGACCTTTCAGTAGAGTTCATCCCTGCATTTCACCTCATACAATATGCATCTCCTTCCACTCTTCTGTGGCATGATTGCACTTAATATGAAGTTATTTTCTGCTGACATAGGAGTAAACTGTGTCTATAATGGAGGAGAAAGTACATGTCTTCTGCTGGATGCGTCTTAAAAGCCACCCAGGCTCTTCATGCTCTAATTTTTTAGCTTTTTTCACCCTCTTCATATTTTGCTTGTTCGTTCTGATTATCGCTCTCTACTTCCCCATCTTCGAGGTCTGTCGGCTTTTTATGGTGCCACAGTATGCGTCGGCAAACCCCCGGGGGCCACTTTCTGCTGCTACATGCAGTGGTAGTGTAACTGGCCTTTTTAGCACAAAGGATTTTTCCATCTCCTGCTGTGTTTTACAAGTGAGGAAGACTGGAAGATCCCACGAGCAGGTGGAGGAAGATGGAGACTTGATTTCAGACTACAAAGCCAGGGAGTGTGCGCCCAGATAAATCGGTGCCAGCAATGCACTCTTTAGTCTGAGAGGCTAAAGACATGAGGGACGGAGGGAGCGGGAGCGATGCCGACAGCATTTAAAACTCCTGTGGGAATCTTGTGCCACTGCGTCCAATGTGTGCAGCCGTTGGCCTCCGCTGTGGCTCAGCGTAGTGTGTGTTTCTGTCACTCTTCAAGCCTCTCAGAGCAGATCAGTCACCCTTTGCTGCTTCAGCTCTTCACCGCTTTTCTTCTCAACTCCACCATTCGTTCCTCTTCTGCTCTCTTTCATCCTGCAATTATGTTTCTCTTTTATTTTGTGTTCTCGTCTTTTTTTCGACCTCTTACTCTCTCCATTATCCTTTTCGGTCGCATGTTGAACTTCCCACAAATCGCTCATCCGTCCATCTGTCCGTCCAGTCGGGTCCTTCCTTCCTCCTTCCCTCCGTCCTGCTCCAGCGTTACTCATTTCCAGAGGAGGAGGAGGATAAGATGCGAGCTAAATCTGCCAGCAGTTAAGAGGTGACTAAGGCGAGCAGCAAATGTCAGAGTGAAGTATGATTGTGGGAAGAGGGAACCTATGGTGGAGAGAGATGACTTCAGATGGGGGTGTGATTCAGACCTGCAGAGACTAATGTGGATCTTTGTAGACAAACAGGGCTAAGAGGGGCCGACAGGCGTGAAATGGTCAGCACCTGCTACATGGCAGGTCCCCCGCTCCTTGTGTTTTATTTTTTTTTACCCCACAGCTGCATGACACACAAAAACATGAATCCACTCCACTCTGTGACTCTGCGTTACTCGAGTCCTCTGCCCTCAGCCGTGCCCTGCGTACACAAGGCAAAGAGAGGGATGGATGTCCTCTCTTCTCCTTGCCTCTCCTCCTCTCATTTTTGATCCTGTTGCTTAGTCATATGCAAACATACCCTCTTCTCCCCTTTCTTTCCCTTTTATCTCTCCCTCGTCATCTCCTTGGCTCCACTTGGCTCTCTTTGTTGCATCTTTCATCTTCTTGCTCAGCGTGCGCTCTCCCCCACTTCTGTCATTCTCAGGTTGTCGTTCAGCCTCCGCCTGCATGCTTGCTGATCTCTCTGCTCGGAGAGGATGCTCTTACCCCCCACCCCCTCCAGCGTTCTTCTCCTCCTCCACTGCCCATGCAATCTCCTTCTCCTCTCCAGCTTAACTCTTAAATAGCAGCAGCTCTTCCTTAATCACAGC